CCCATCCCATCCCATCCCATCCCATCCCATCCCATCCCATCCCATCCCATCCCATCCCATCCCATCCCATCCCATCCCATCCCATCCCATCCCATCCCATCCCATCCCATCCCATCCCATCCCATCCCATCCCATCCCATCCATCACCACTTTCTAACCTAACACACCCGCCCACATACAACCAAACTAACACAAATATAAATGTATTATCAATATAATTGTATAGCATATAAATACAATATTAAAAGTGATTTGTTGTGTGATTTTATATGTAGTTTTCATTATCTATTGTTGTTTTAAATTTATATTTGTTATATCATTATCATTAAACAACAAATAAGTCTTAAATGCTGTTATTATTACATTTTGCATATACAGTATGTAATTTAGTAAAATTATTATTAATTTTATATAAAAACAAAAATAAAATGTATGTACACTTTTTATTTTTAAAATTAATAATTTTCTTAAATAATTAAATTTATATTTAACCAAATAGTAAACAATTTCTAAAAGGTTTAGTAATAATTATTCATCAAATATATATTAATAGTAAACACATATACAGTATATGAATACTGTTTGTCGAGTATTGAGTAGAATATTGGAGAACATGTTATGCATTGATATGTTGTGAGAGAGTGTGTAATGCAATGAAATATTCCACTCATTACTCGATTCGCAATACAATACATATATAAAGCAATTAAGTTATAGACTATTATTAACAGTAATAGCAGTCAAACTATAGTTTGAAATAAGTTTTCAAATAAAACTTTTTTAATAAAGTTATCAATAAATTGTTTCATATATATTGTCTCATAACTAATATTGTGATTATAATTATTGCTTTAAAATAATTAATTGCTTTGGATATGTTTTTTCCGTATCGTTCAGCTGTTAGACGACGATATCCATCGGATTTGTTTGATTGGCCGCAGAGTATGTTTGGACAACACTTTGGTCTCGATTGTCGTATTGAGGACACGACATAACAGTTGCCACCAATCAGTGGTATTGAACGTATGGTTTCCATCGCTATTACCGAAGGAGACAAACAAATAAATAAAAAAATTTTGATCATTGAATTAATTTGACTTTTGAAATGATTATTATATAATGAATTATAAAAATTAATTTTTTAATATATTATTGATTATTCAAAGACTAAATGACAAACTAAATGACAAACTAAATGACAAACTAAATGACAAACTAAATGACAAACTAAATATATAATATACTGTTTTAGACTATTAACTGAAAATGAAATATTTTGAGCTATAATTTTGAGCTGTAAGTGGAGCCATAACTTTTAGGAAAGTTTAGGTTATGCTCTTGAATACATCGGTAACGATTGGCCAAATTGACGCCCACATTGTGCCAACCGCTCAACGGTGTCGTATTGATTGTCGGCAACAATTTTGACCTCCAGTTGTCAATGTAGGTAAATGCTGGATAATTATATGAACTTTTCCAATGAATCCATTGGGTATGAGTTAAACTTATTATATTTATACTAATCTTGTATTCTTTGTTGTGAAAGCAAATCTTTGGTGGATTAAGTTGTGTGGAAATCCATTTTTTGTTGTAGTTTACGAAACATAGGCCAACCAATTGATATAATGTATGGCCAACTGACCAATTGGTTTCGTCTAAACAGATGAATACAGCAAAACAATCGTCTAAATAATTTTTTTCGATATTACTGCGCGTTAGTGAAAACACTAAGTGACCGACCACTACATTGTTGTCCAGGTATTCATAGATCAGACAGTCGTTGATATCGGCCAATACCATCACCGGTTCAATTGGAAATACGGGATTTGTTTGGCCTAACAGATCATTAGACAGTTGTATTGAATCCAATTCAAGTATTTTCATTACTAAATCCGATACATAGTAAAAGCCGTGTATAAATGATGTCAATTGGCCGCAATCGAGTGGCCGGCAATCGTAAAGAACCAGATTTATATATTGTACGCCTTCGGGTATAATAATACAAATGTTACGATAGGGTACGCTTTTTTCCCACTTTCCCAGAGGAACACTAGCTCTGAACACATTTTGTAGATCAACGAATCCGTCACAACAAAAATAGGTGTTCTCTTTAATCAATGAGTTTCGATATTTCTTTGACTCCAACTGTTCGCCTATACAGAGGTAACCATCGTTGCCGACGAGAAACATATATCGATTGGACAAACGGTGATTCCAAGCAGGGATTCGATCAATTTGTTTGGTTATCTTTTGATCCATTGGCTGATTAAGTGCCGCGTGTATACCGCTAACTGTCTGGTCATAGCCATCCAATATAAAATGAATTCCACGATTTAACGACCGTTTTTCATCTATCATTCTCAGAATAATAACCAATTTTGCCGCATAAGTCGGACAATCGATACGTGTTATATTTGTAGGACTGTCGACAATATAGACACTCTGAGATTGTGACTGATTTTGTTTTTTATCTGATGAGATAAGTACCAAATAGATACCTCTACTGTAGTCATCGGGATATTTTTGTAGTGGCTGATGGTTTTGTGTCATCACTACTGGGAATACTGAATCAACCATCAAATATGTTACCATTTCGGGTACTTGTGATACCAGTGTCGAGGAATCCAAGAGTATGACTCTCGAGTAGTATTTATTGTACCAACAAATGAGAGATCCATGAATAACCTCATCATTGACTTCTACTTGTCCTGTAATTTGTATCAATTGATCGAAATAATTGATTGGCTGTTGTCTTCTTTGTACTCCTGGTGTTCCAAACACTTCCGCCACAATAATCGGTTCATTTGTTTTCAGATCTTTTTGTTGAACAGTTGACTCAAACTCTTGATCTCTGAGCCCAATCTGTTCTCTTCCGTAAACCGATCGAAGTATTCCTGGCTTTTGATGTAATACTTTTTGATTGTCTGCCATTTTGATTGTTGTTGTTTGTCTTACTTTTTATTTGATAATCAAAATAAAATACCGGCTAAAAATTAATTTTTAGAAATTTAAATTAATATAACACGTGATATAGAAAATAGTATTCTGTTACTGTATTGCATTTCCCAATACATCGTTATATTTATTGATTTAACTATTAGCGCGTGAAATGAACTTAATTTATTCAATTAAAAAACAAATACTAATATAAATACATTAAAACATAGCAAACCATCTTAACTTTCTCTACAATCTAACCCTAACCCTATCCCATCCCATCCCATCCCATCCCATCCCATCCCATCCCATCCCATCCCATCCCATCCCATCCCATCCCATCCCATCCCATCCCATCCCATCCCATCCCATCCCATCCCATCCCATCCCATCCCATCCCATCCCCCATCCCATCCCATCCCATCCCATCCCATCCCATCCCATCCCATCCCATCCCATCCCATCCCATCCCATCCCATCCCATCCCATCCCATCCCATCCCATCCCATCCCATCCCATCCCATCCCATCCCATCCCATCCCATCCCATCCCATCCCATCCCATCCCATCCCATCCCATCCCATCCCATCCCATCCCATCCCATCCCATCCCATCCCATCCCATCCCATCCCATCCCATCCCATCCCATCACCTAACCTAACACACCCACCCACATATCACAAAACTAACCCAAATATAAGGGTATTATCAATATAACACGAGAGTTTACCAGACGTTATGTTTTGCCCGATGGCTGCAAAGCCGAAGAAGTGATATCAAGTCTTAAGCCGAATGGTGTGCTGACTATTGAGGCTAAGAAAGAACAGTTGCCACCAATCAGTGGTGTTGAACGTGTGGTTCCCATCGCTATTACCGAAGGAGACAAACAATTAAAATAAACATTTTGTTCATGAAAATGGATTTATTAATAATTATTTCTTAATCTAAAAAAAAAAAAAGTTTTCAATTATTTCTGTATTTTAATCGAATTTATTATTTTTGCTATTTGTTTTTAATATTACATTATTTATGAATATTCAAGTTATATATTTATACTGTATTTAGTTATTTTAACTAATTGTATAATTAAAAAAATATTAATTATTTAATAAATATAATTTTGAAAGTTTAATGTGTGTGTGTGTGTTAAATGCCATAAATAAAAGTACTGATAATTGTACTTTTAAAAAACTTGTAGTATATTTAATATTTTTTTAATAAACATATCTTGATAAACATATTTTTTTAATAAAATAAATATTTTTTTCAAAATTGATAATAAATAAAAAATAATATTATTATTAATAATAATAAAAAATATGTAAACATGAAAAACTAGAGTAATAATACTAATAATAGTAATTTCTAAAATCAAAATGTTTTAAACAAACCAAATACACTATAAATATACTGTATTTATAAGTATAATCAACAGTTGATCCGTGGTATATCTTCTCTGGCCTATGAGTTATGCCATAATAATTGGGAAATTATAAGCCAAACATTTGAATAACTATCGTTTAGGGTCAGCCAAATTGACGCCAACATTGGGCCAACCATTCAACACGGGTATTGTATTGATAATCGGCCAAAAAAACATCCGTAGTCCGCCAATTGTCAAAATCTGTCAAAAAAATTTTTGAGGCCCGTCGCCAATGAACCAAATCGTGACCATATTTTTGTGTGTTTTATTTATTGAATAACTTTTTATGTTTTAAAATCTTTTTTTTTTTTAGTTTTAAATTTTATTCAATATGTGATTTATTTGTGTTATTATTCAAGGTCCTAGTGTTGTTTACCGGTAGTTAAAGTATTGTTTGTTTTTTTAAATATATATATATATATATATATATATATATATATATACTGTATATATGTAAACGTGATATACAACAGTTATGAAATATAATTTATTATTTTTCTAACATATTTATATTTTTTTTGATTAGTCACAGTAATATGAGTGTGAGCTCAGGTATTTAATATAGCTGTAAGAGATATTTATTTAACAATAATGTACCTGTTTTTTACTATCAGTGCGCAATACGGTTATACAACAAAAAAAATTATTGGTAAACTGTATATAAATTGCAACTTACACTCCAATAGCATAGTTATAAATTATTTTGATGAAATATTTTCATATAATATTTTCAGATATCATTAAATTTGTTTGTAATTTATAAGTAGTTCAAAACTTTCAAATGGATCAGCTTTCCATCTATGGTTCGCCACATTTTTCTTATTGGCCACAGAATATGCCCGACACCGTCGATCGCGATTATCACGATCTGTGGCGACAATCGATGCCTAAACAATCGGGAGTTGTGACCAACACTGGCACCGATGATGATGACGACAACAACAATAATAAGTTTGTCATACAGTTAGACGTCAGTAAATATAAACCCGACGAGATTGAGGTCAAAACAGTTGGCTCGTGTGTGCAAATTCATTGCAAACACAACCGAAATAATAGTAACAGCAAAAAGTCGGACCACAGATGGCCAGACGTACGTGAGTTCAACCGCCGCTACGCTCTGCCCGATGGCTACTATCCCGAGAACGTAGTGTCCAGTCTTTTACCGAACGGTTGGCTGATTATTGAGGCCAACAAACAGCTGAAACAACCGTCAGTTTTGGTAGCGGAACGAACGGTTCCCATCAAATATTATTGACCAATCATTTAACTATTGAAAACCATTTTTTTACTAATATTTTGTATAAATTTGAAATTATTAAATATTTTTTTTTTAATAATAATATAATTATTTTAATAACTATGTATTTTAATATATATATCTTATTTATATTTAATATTTATTTAATTATTGACAATAAAATTAATTACATTGATATTTATAATAATCTAAAATTAATACTTATTTTATACTAATTAGTTGTTAATTGTATTTATATAGTTTAATAGTAATAACATTTTGCACAGTTTTTAATAGTTATATAGATATAAATATATTTCTGTATATATTTATAGTATCAAGGTCACAATAATATTAAACATTGCCGTCAAAACATTAGTAACATTGTGTTGTTTGTCGAGTAAAACATGATTTCTAGAAACAACAATCAATACTATATTATATAATACATAAGTATACCATAAACTAATGTTTATATTATATATGCATAGATATAGTATCATATAGTATATTATAGTAGTATACCTGAGCACTGGTATTCAAATATCATGGAATATTCCAGTGCTTGTCATGGCCTACAGGTTCTCATTTGTTGAATGAAATTAATATACAGTATTTGATTAAATAAATGCATAATTAATTTTAGTAACAATAAAACACGATAACAATAAACATAAGAAAGAAATTTTATTTAAATATAAAACTTTTAATAATAAGATATCATAACATTATAATATTATGTAATTAATAATCATAATAAATTTTTAAAAGATACAAAAAAAATATTATATTTGAAAACAGTTAATGTTGTTTTCAATACAACCAGTTTTAATAATTGTAATTACTAATTTATTTATAATATTAACTTTAAAACAAATACAAACAAATAATTGTTAATTAATCGGATTAAAATATAATTATCAAAAAATTAAAGTTTAAATCATTGATCAAAATGTTTATTTTGTTTGTTTTTCTTCATCGGTAATAGCGATGGGAACCACACGTTCAACACCACTGATTGGTGGCAACTGTTCTTTCTTAGCCTCAATAGTCAGCACACCATTCGGCTTAAGACTTGACATCACGTCCTCGGCTTTGCATCCATCGGGCAAAACATAGCGTCGGGTAAACTCTCGTGAAATCCATCCGTGACTATCACTTCTTTCTTCGTGTTTGCCATGAATTTCAACATAATTGCCAATAGTTTTGACTTCAATTTCTTCGGGTTTGAAATGACTGACGTCTAACTTCACGGAAAACTTGTCGCCAGTGTTGGCCACATGTGATGATCCCGAGAGTTGATTCAATTGACTCATTGATTGATCAAAATCACGACAATCGAGACCAAAGTGTTGTCCAAACATACTCTGCGGCCAATCAAACAAATCCGATGGATATCGTCGTCTAACAGCTGAACGATACGGAAAAAACATATCCAAAGCCATTATTTTAAAACAATAATTATAATCACAATATTAGTTATGAGACAATATATATGAAACAATTTATTGATAACTTTATTCAAAAAATTTCAAACTATAGTTTGACTGCTATTACTGTTAATAATAGTCTATAACTTAATTGCTTTATATATGTATTGTATTGCGAATCGAGTAATGAGTGGAATATTCCATTGCATTACACACTCTCTCACAACATATCAATGCATAACATGTTCTCCAATATTCTACTCAATACTCGCAAACAGTATTCATATACTGTATATGTGTTTACTATATATTTGTTTATACAGTAATTCAATGCTACACTATATCATAGACTATTGCGATTTACTATGAGATTAATTAATACATTCATTAAAACAATTATTGATAATTTTATAATGAAAATATATAGTAATTTTTTTTAAATGTATATAATATTATATAACTTATAGTTTATAAGCTATTTAATTATTTTCAAAAAATTACTATAAAATATCAATGCATAACATGTTCTCCAATATTCTACTCAATACTCGACAAACATTACTCATATAATATTAGTCTAATATACTGTGTATTCATAAATAATATTTACATTTGTTTACTATATATTTGTTTATACATTAATTCAATGTTAAATTCAATTAATACTAAATCATAGACTATTGCAATTTACTATGCGATTAATTAATACATACAACAATTATTAAGACAATTTTACAATGAAAATGTATAGTAATTTTTTTTAAATATATACCAATAAACCATTTCTAGGAAAGTACCATGTTCAATTGGAATATTTTTTCACTTATGGTATTTTTAAAAAAATATATATACAAATTACTATTACAAACATTTTTTTAATAATTTACATATTTAAATGATATTATGTAATGTTTTAAAAATAATACTTATAAAAATTTTTATGTAATTAGAGTAAAAATCAATATATAATATTTTTCTATATAAATATATCATATGATTATTATTTAATAATTAAATATTTAGATTTTTTTTATATATATTACAAATAAAAAAATCACAATTATATAAATTTATTTCTAAAAATTAGATAAACTTTTATTTATTTTTAAATTTATTTTATTAATTAAAAAAAATATATCAGATTAGTAATACATGAAGTAAACTAATTTTAATATTATAAAGTAATACAGTTTATATGTTATTGATTATAATAGTTTTAAATCAATTAAATAATTGATAAACAAATAAATCAAATATTTTGAATAAAATAATTTTAATGACCAAAAAACCTAATTTATTGTTTGTCTCCTTCGGTAATAGCGATGGGAACCACACGTTCAACACCACTGATTGGTGGCAACTGTTCTTTCGTGGCCTCAATAGTTAGCACACCATTCGGCTTAAGACTTGATATCACGTCCTCGGCTTTGCAGCCATCGGGCAAAGCGTACCGTCGGGTGAACTCTCGTGCAATCCATCCGTGAGTATCACTTCTTTCTTCGTGTTTGCCATGAATTTGAATACTATTGCCAATAGTTTTGACTTCAATTTCTTCTGGTTTAAAGTGACTGACGTCTAACTTAACTGAAAACTTATCGCCAGTGTTGGACACTTGTGATGATCCAGCAATTTGATTCATTTGACTCATTGATCGGTTCCAGTGGTCGTCCAACTCATGTAAATCAAAACCAAACAAACTCTGCGGCCAATCAAACAATTGTTGATTTCGGCGACAAACAGCCGAGCGATACGGCAAATACAGATTCAAAGACATTATTATTTAATTGCAATTAATATAATCACAAATTCAATGAGAAATACAGTATTATTGTTATATAGCTTTTATAGTGTACTAAAAGTTTTATAGTTTTACTGAAAATTTGTTTCAATCGATACTCGCATTGCTTTCACTGCAAGACTTATATAGTGTTTTGCAGTGAAACCAAAATTTTCTAGAAATGTATAGAAAAGTTAACGTTTTAATTGTATGTATTGTACGCACACTTCACTGCTTAACCTTCACTGAGTTCTCGATATTTCTTTGCCTAACATACCATACATTTGATTGCAAAGCGGTATTCAAAGCATTGAAACGCCGATCGACTTCACGAATATTCCGGTGCTTTCGCTAACAAATCACAAAATTATTTAAACGATATAAATAAATATATGCAAAAAATATGRTCACGAGTTGGTCACACAATCATCTGATGATAAAATTTATCAGACAATCAGTTTAGACAATACGCGCGTGAAAATCAAAAGCAGTATTCAAATAGAAATTCAATATTATATCATTAATTAAATTATGATTTGAGTTAAATTTTGTAAAAATCGTAATTTTTTCAGTATTTTGTTTAAATAAACGATAAACAAAATTCAATAAACAAAACAAACAAACAAAATACAAGAACTATTTGATCCACAAGAAGTGAGTCAAACAAACAACCAATCAATCAATAAAAATGGCAAACAATCCAAAACTATTATATCGAAAGCCAGGAATACTTCGATCGGTTTACGGAAGGGAAGAGATTGGACTCAGAGATCAAGAGTTTCAGTCAACTGTTCAACAAAAAGATCTGAAAACAAATGAACCGATTATTGTGGCGGAAGTGTTTGGGACACCAGGAGTACAAACAAGACAACCGCCAATCAATTATTTCGATCAATTGATACAAATTACACGACAAGTAGAAGTCAATGATCAGGTCATTCATGGGTCTGTCATATGTTGGAACGAAAAAGACAATAAACAACTTATAATCATTGATTCCTCGACACTCGTACCACAAGTAGAACATATGGAACAGAATCGGTATATGTAACCCATTTGTTGTTCAAGTTTTAAACGCTATTAAAATGACAATTTAACAAGTTTTACATACCAGCCCTCACCTCCCGTTCCATCCCTCCACATACGCCACTTCCTAACCTCTACACCCACCCCAACCTAACCTAACCTAACCTAAAGTAATTGATAGCATTTGTCATAAACTTTATGGTTATAACAGCGAGCGTGAAATTTCAACAACAAATGGGTTACATATAACGAACTTTAGCCGAACATATATATCAGATGCGAGATTCAATATTTCCAGTACTGATGACAGCAAACCATCAGCCGCTACTTGAATTTCCCGACGGCTACACTTCAGGCATATATCTTGGACTCATAAAATCCAAACAAAATAAGATTGAAAATAGGACTGTCCAGATTTTTAACTACGGTACAGACATATCAAATGTCAACTGTTCGACACATGCGGCAAATTTGATTTGTTTTATTCAATCTATAGTTAAAAATCGGTCTCGTGTTTGTAATCGATTACCTGTTGGATGGCTACGACCAGTCAGTTATCGGTATACACGCGTCACTGAATCAGTCAATTAATAAAATTATTACCACCGAATTTGAAAGAATACCCGATTGGAATCACCGATTGAGTGATCGCTATTTGTTTCTCGTCGGCAACGATGGTTACCTATGTATTAACGAATGGTGGGAATCAACTTCACAGAAGAAATATTTCAATTCTTTGCTTAAAGAGAACACCTATTTCTGTTGCGACGGTAGATTAGAACTGAGAAATGTCTTCGGCGGTAAAYTTGATTTAATCAGATTTAAAACAGACATATCTTACAGGAAAACTATTCTGATTATACCCGAAGGCGTTCAATATATATATCTTATTCGTTTAGCACCCAATTGCCAATTAAAGTCATACATATACGGCTGGTATACTGTATCGGATTATTGCCCAAAAGTACTTGAATTGGATTCAATACAATTGTCCACTGATTTGTTAGGCCAATCAAATCCAGTTCATTCATATAAACCGATGATGTTATTGGCCGATATCAACGATKCTTTGATCTATGAATACAAGTTCAACAACCAATTGRTCGGTCACTTACTGTTCTCTCTATCGTACAATCATTGCGACCACTATTTATTTTACGACATTTTCATGGTTTTCATTTGTTTAGACGAAACTAATTGGTCGACAGCCACTACTTTGTATCAATTTGTCGGTCAATGTTCGGCAGAGTATAAGCAATCGAGAATCCAAAACCAATTGAATGCACCRAAGATCTTATTTTTAGATAAAAAATCTTATCTAAAACCAGCTGTAAATCTAATTGATTTAACTGCTGATCAATTGAATCGGTGGAGACCGAGATTAGATAAACCTTTGCCTGATTTTGCCTCCATTGAAAATTGGCGGACAATATTTTTGCCGATTATCAATACAACGCCAATCAATTGTTGGCTTAATGTTGGCGTCAATTTGGCTGAACGTCATAAATGTATTGAAGTGTTTGGTTTAAAGTTACCCAATGATTACGGCGTAACTCAAAAGAAACATCGGGTCTACTRATGATTAGASATATGTATARAGTATTTGGTTTGTCATATATTTTCATTTTAAAAAACTATTATWTGTTTGTTTTGTTTACCAACTTATTTATATTAATAAAACATTATTTTCTAGTTATTATCATTTATGTTATATATTTATTTATATAAAAATTATAAATATATTTAAAAAGATATAAGATTAAAAATATTTAATATACTGAAAGATTTTCTAAAAAAAATAAAATTATCGGTACTTATATATTTCATTTAACACACAAATATGATAWTTAGAATATTAAATAATTAATATTTCTTTAATAATAYAATTCATTAAAATTATTAAATATATCTTAATTATCTAATTTCATCATCAACAATCATAAATATTAACAAAATTAATATCAAATACTAAAAAAAATAAATAATAAATTATATTAAAATACAAAAATTAATTGAAATAATTTTTTTTTTAGATGAATAAATAATAATTAATAAAATCATTTTAATTTTAAATTGTCATTTCATTTTAAAAAGTTTAGTTTGTTTATTTGTTTTCATACTGTAAATGATAGCGATATAAAAAACACAAACAAAATATTCACAAAAAAATAGATGAAATAAATAATAATTATTATATTGAAGTCATTGTTTACAAATGTGAACAAATAAATTAACTTTTGATCCACAAGWAGTGAGACAAACAAACAACCAWTCAATCAAYAAAAATGGCAAACAATCCAAAACTATTATATCGAAAGCCAWGAATACTTCGATCGGTTTACGGGAAGGAAGAGATTGGGCTCAGAGATCAAGAGTTTCAGTC